ATGACTGTTTGTGATTCCTCTTCCGTCCCCTGCCTCCTGACTTTACTGTCCACAGACTCCCTATTTTCTGAGCAGACACAACTGGGAGATTCCTCCAGGAGAGGAGGGAGCCATGTGCCCAGGCCTGGCTCAGCCTGTGATCAGCCTTTCTAGTAGTACTGGACATCCCTACACTACCCTCAACACTTTCAAAGCCCTTTACACACGTGAGGTCACTTGGAACTCACTACAGTCTTATGAGGTATTTATCACCCCCATATTACAGATTAGGAAACTGAGGCTCAGGCACATGAGGTGACCTGTCTAGGGTCCCACAGTAAGTACCAGGGGCAGGATTCAGACCCAGGTCTCCCTACCTCCAGGACCAGTACTCCATCCAATGTGACCTTCCGTTATATTGAGCCACAAGGACTTTTCCTTCAAAGGAAGCAGCCTGGGAACTTGACTTCATTTTGTCCTAGAAAGGCCCCTCAGCTGGAGCTGGCCATGAGGCTGTGGGAGGGCGGGTGAGGACTGGAGAGGCCAGCTGTGCCGCAGGCAGGAGGGCTGGATCGGCACTGCTCTGACCGTTCTCATCCTGGGGACTTGAGGAGCTGGCTTCCTTCTCTAGGTGCTTAGCAGGCAAACTGAGACCTGGGAAAAGCCCTAGCTTAAAAAGGCGGAGCTCCCCCACAGAATCTGGGGCCATTTCCAGTCGCCTGATGTGTGTCTGGCCACTGGACCCCGATGGCGCCAGAGGACAGAGTGAGGCTGGTGACGGTGCCCAGCCCTGCCTCACTTAAAGTCAGTTCATCTGAATGTCATGGCATCAGCTCCCTGATGTTGTGGTCGTCTTGGAAAAGAAGGACCCACAACAACGAATAAACAACGGTAGACTGAGTGCCTTCCTCCCCGCTCACACTTGAGGTCATTTGAAGCGGCTAGGGAGCATCATGGTGCACAGTGGGTCTGGAGCTAGGAAGACCTGAATTCAAATTTCACCTTAGGCACTTACTAGCTGTGTGATGGTGGGCAAGTCACTCAACTTCTGTCTGCCTCAGTTTCCTCATCTGTAAAATTAGGATAATAATAGCATTTAACTTTCACAGTTGTTGTGAGGGTCAGATAAGATATTCCTAAAAGGCACACGACCTGTCATATAGTAGGCACTTAAGAAATCCTTCCTTCCTTCCCTCCTTCCTTCCTTCCTTGCTTCCTTCCTTCCTCCCTCCTTTCCTCCCTTCCTTCCTCCTTTCCTCCCTCCCTCCCTTCCCTCCTTCCTTCCTTCCCTCCTTCCTCCCTCCCTTCCCTCCCTCCTTCCTTCCTCCCTCCCTCCTTCCTTCCTTCCCTCCTTCCTCCCTCCCTTCCTTCCTTCTTTCCTTCCTTCCTTCCTCCCTCCCTCCCTCCCTTCCTTCCTTCCTTCCTTCCTTCCT